TTTAGAACATTGCATGAGTGTGGGAAGGGTTTCTAAAGCCTTAATATAAAGTTTAACGTATTTGAACTTGAACTACTCTCCCTACTTCGTGGTTTTTCACTTATCGTGAGGCTTCAGGGTACGGATCCCCATCGATAAACAAGGGACTACTGTATTATTTTTTTTTCTGTTAAGTTCTGTCTAAGTGAGGGTGTATTAGGAGTCTTTAGCATCCTTGAACATCTTACTGCATTTGAATTTACCTGGATGATTGAGCTTACAAACCTTTTATTTCTGAACCACTTTGGCCTTGGTTGTCCTCAGGCTGTTTCTGTGAGTAGCAAGTTGGACATCTGGCTTAAAACATTTTATTGTTGTACTTGATGATTGATTGTTTTGCACATGGTAAAACTCTACTTTAGAGATTCTAACAGGAGGTTGGCTTGAAACACAGCAGTGAAGGCTCCCTATGGGACAGATCTGGTTGGCAGGCAGTAGACTGAGGAAGTCCTCTGGATGGGGGACGAAACGTTTCTCACTTAAAGAAACTAGTCCAGATGACACGATCTAACCATTTTTTCTCCTTAAAACTTTATAAATAATAAAATTAATATAATGCTGCTACTTTGTGGATTTCCCCCTACCATGGGGGTCTCTGGAACGTAACCTCTGCAATAGGTGAAGGATCACTGTATATTTGATGGCTTCTCGCTCCCAGCAGTGCAGGGCAGAGGCTCTCATTCCAGGTCTAAAGTAGAAACATATCAGGCGTTGTTCTTGGCTTCTCTCTCAGAGGTCAAGGGAAAGGTCTATAGTATTGTTACATGACTGGTAGGCTGCAGTTCCTCCCACTCAGTTGGCAGACAGTGTATGGAGGGCTTTGTTCTCACAGAGGATCAGCCAGATTCCCCCACTATCAGGATAAAGCTGCAGTTATTCACAGAGCAAGGATGAGCTGCTCACAGTAAAGCAAATCTCCCAGGAGCTGTTGAAACCAAACCGACATTACGTGATTGATGATTTCAGCTGCGACGAGAACTTCATTGCCTCAATACAACATTGTTTTCTCAGCATGTCTGGAATGTAAAAGTGTCACCATTGGGCTTTCTGTATCAAATAAAATATTACAAATCCACAGAAATCTGATTTTCCACAGTCAAGTTGAAACATTGACACTTGAAACATTGTTTCGCACTTATTTTATCAATCGTAAAAAAAAAAAATTATATGAAGGTGCAAATTAATGCTGAGTGATGACATTGCTGAAATTTGTTGAAGAATCTGAAACTGAGTTCTTAAAGCTAAAGGAAGTAGAACATTTGCTAAAACATAAAAAAACACTACAGGTTAAAAGTAGCAAAAGGCTAGCTCAAAGCTAAAAGTACTACTACTAAATGCAGCATAATAAGAAAACAATATAGCATGTATGCTACAGCACATTTAAAAGAGAACTTTTTTTTAGAAAGATATGAGCAAATTTCAATGTATTTCTATGGTGGTATGTTTGTTGTAAATAAAGTTATTTTATAACAAGTATAACAGTTAAAAAACAGAACAAACTTATGACACCAATCTCAGGAACAGGCTGAAGGTTTTGATTTGCAAATGGATAAAATAGCACAAAGTGTGCTAGATTGTAAAAGAGCTTAATTATGTAGCATTACGAACGTTGAGTTTTTTTAATCATTTTTTGTTTTAGTCAATAAAATAAACTTCTGTTGTATAAAAATCTAACCACAAGCTCTTGTGAAGTCATTATGTATCCTGAGAGGATACCCTGATATACAGCTGTTTTCATTTTAAATAAAATGTATCACATTGCTTTTTTGTTCCTCGGCCCTGGCAACAGACGTATGTTACTGCTTTTTGTTAACCTGCCCATCTCCCAAGTAATTAATGAGTATCCCAACTTCGTGAAGCATGTTTTTGAACTGAGTTCAGGAATTTGTTAGCATTCTGTGACATCATTTCACTCACTCGTATTTTTGAAGAAATGGGAACAAAAGTTGGTCCATTACTGAGTTGTCTCTGTGCTGGCAGTGGAGGTAGACACAGAGCCAGACTGGCACGAAAGCTCACATTCACTCCAACAAGGGAGTCGACACTCTTGTTGTTCATTGCGTGTAACGACACACCAATGCGTCTCTGAGTAGCCTCTGTTTGTTCTGTAATTTACACAATGGGAACAGTGGCATGCGATAAAGCACCAGTGGTGCGATGGACCATGGAAATGAGAACACAGGATAAAGTCCATTAAGGTTTTGTGCTATTGTATAAAGTTCTTTCATAAATTGTAAAATTTACAAAAATTTAACCTTAAAGACGTAAAAGGAGCAAAATTAACTAGTGTTAACTGGTAACAACCCAAGTCACAACCTGAACACATTGACCTACCACAAAGAAACAAATAGTGCCTGATCAGACCACTTGAGACAAACAGAATTTTAACTTGCTTTCAAACTCAGGCAAGACAGAGTTTGTGCTTTTTAGACCTGAACAGCCTTTCATTTACTCTGGATTGCATCAACTTGGCTTCCAGTGCTACTGATGCGCCTTATGTATTAATTCTGGTTGTGCTTACTGACCTTGAACCGATTTTATGTGGTACACGGTGCTCAAAAATCTGTCAAAATGAACTTGTTTCACTTAATGCACCATATAATCGGGGCGGCTGTGGCTGAGTGTTAGAGCAGTCATCCGCCAATGCAAGAGTTGGGGGTTTGATTCCACCAGCAGTCACATGTTGAAGTGTCCCTGGGCAATACACTGAACCCCTCATTGCCTCCGATGTGTGTCCCATCGGTGTATGAATGCACTAAAGCACTGATTATTCTTTGTACAGTTCTAGTAGAGTGCTGTATGAATGGGTAAATGAGGCACAGATTGTGTTGTAAAGCACTTTGAGTGCCTTGATAAGATAGAAAGGCGCTATATAAGCATTAGTCCATATACCATTTACAATAATCCGGTGCGCCTTATATATGAAAACAGACCTGTTCATTGATACTGAGCCTTATAATCTGGTGCACCGTATAGTCAGAAAAATATGGTATTCTGAAGAACGTTGGAGTGATTTTTGACAAGGATGTGTAGTTTAATTCCCACATTAAATTCTCTCCACCTGTGCATCTCACTAAAATTAGAAACATTTTGTTCCAAAATGATGAGACAAAAAAATGTCCCAAGCAAAAATCACTTCTTTGATGGACTCTTTATTAACGTTGCTGCCAGAGGTCTGATGAGGATATTTCTTCATTTTTATTTAGAAGAAAACTTAAAATCTGACTTCTTACTACCATTCTGTAAACAACCAAGCTCCATGCTGTATTAAAGATATTATTGTTCCAAATTTTCTTAACAGAGCACTTCACTCTCTTCGCACACACTGCATGTTTACTTGTGGTTCCTAGAGTTTCTGAAAGCAGAATAGGAGGCATAGCTTTCAGTTATCAAACTCCTCTCTTGTGGAGCCAACTTACAGTTTCTATCTGTGAGGCTGACACTCTGCTCTTAAGACTAGACTTAAGACGTTTGTTTTTGATAAATCCTACAGTTAGTGTTGGGTTTCTTGAGCTATCCATTAGTTTTGCTGCTTAGATTGCTGTAGGATGTAATAAACACAAGTGTAAATAGTTATGGTGTTTTTTATTCTATGACGCACAAAAGTCTCCTTTCAGTTTTTACCTTGTAAAATAAAATTCTGCTTTCCTCTCCAGGACGATCTACATGGAGTTTGAGAAAGACGTAAACGTGAAAGGAATCCCCGCCTATCGCTTCACACCACCGCGCTCGGTTTTGGCCAGCAAGGGGGAGAACCCAGCCAACAAAGGATTTTGCATCACCCCAGAGGAGTGCCTGGGAACTGGAGTTCTTAAAGTCAGTCCATGTCGGAAAGGTGATTGTCAGCCTGTGCAGCACATTTTCTCAGGCAGTCTTTGAACTTCTTCGTGCCACTCACACGGTCCTTTTTTTGTGTCAGCAACATTTTTCCTTTCAGTGCTTATACTAAAACCTCAGAAGTAAAACTGTGAAAGCTTTCAAAGATGTATGCTCTTGGGTTGGTCAAAAGAGCTTTCTGGCCCACGTATTTTAAGTCAGTAGATCGTTAAATAAAGATTTCCAGGAAACTGATTATTCCATTCACCTTTTTTCATACTGCCACCAGTAAACCGCACGTGAACGACTCACGTGACACAGCTCTCCTGCTCTTGTTACACTGGACACCCTCTGTCCATGACTGACCCAGTAGCTGGTGGCAGTAAGCCCCGTCACCTGATTCTGCCCTTGAACATGTTCAAGAATGGTCTTACTGGCCATATTTTCTTTGTTTCATCTAATCTTATTTTTTAAAGGTTTGTATTTCTTGCTATTATACAATATTACAAATTACTTTGAATGTTTCAGCTTCTAAATTCATTTTTGGAAACAAATGGTATTTTAGATCTTTAAAGTTAGGTTCTGTGGAAAAAATATGAACAACTAATTTCTTATTTGTTGTAGGTAGTTCTGTAAACAACCTTAAATAAATGACTAGATGTTAGCTCAGGCGGAGGAACTAACGGCTAGCGTGGCCAAAACCAAAGTGAACTACTATCGACTTAAAAGAGCTCCAATCTCCACAGATTTACTGCGATTCTTGCTAATGCTATTTTATACATTGTTACATCACCACATGTTTTCATTATAAGGCAATTTACACAGAGGGGTTGAAATGTTTGAGGATGGATTTTATTTTATTTTTTAATGGCAGCAATTTACTTTTGACTTGGCCTCATTTGGACTATACTAGCTCATTAGCCTGGTCTGAATAAAACACTATTTCATTTGTATCCAAAAGCCAGATTTTCTATGTTCTAAGTTGAACAAATCAACTGAAATTGTCCCCAAATGTCAAGGTTCATGAGAAGCCCTGATCTAAAAATCCAATATGGCTGACACACACATGGAACGTTGTGATAGAAAAATGCTTTTTTTGATCTGATTTTATACTGTTCAACCATAATCAGTGAACATGTTAGTACAATGTTTTGAGAAATCTGTTGTTGAGTAACATTACTAATGGTAGTTAACCTGGTCACTGAGCGCAACAATAATGGTGCTTTGCCACTGTCTCAACTCTCATCGTCTCTGCATGACATGGCACCAAACAAGGGTCTCTCTAATGCCTATACCCACCCCCACTCAGCCTGGTTTATGGGACAACCTTGTTTGGGGTTTCAAGTGGATTGCTCCGGGTGGTCGATTTTAACGTAATCAGACAGTAGCCGATGACTGGACAGTGGAGCTATATATCACTGGATGCCCCCCCCCCCCCCCGAAAAACTGGAAACTACATCTGAAACTCCACTTCCTCATCATGTTGATAGATGGCGCTAGAGTTGCACTCGGGTCCATATAATCCAAACCGACCTGGCCCCAGCCCGCAGTCATCATCTCCGACTCCGAACCCCACCCTATCTGACGAATCAACAGTAATTACAGGTAACACCTGCCCCACCCCCCCAACATTTTTAATTAAGTGTTGACTGCTTATACCACCAACTATTATTAACGGTCGGCGGACGCACGTGACTGAGGGGGCAGAAGATCAGAGCTGAGGAGCCATCAATGCGCATTAAAAACTTCCCCTTCTTCTGCCTGTATTGAATCCTGCTCTGACATGTCAGATATATTGTGATCTCACATATTTGGGCTGTCGGCAGCACGTGTCCACTGAGTGCAGCGGCTGAATGAATGTCCATTTGGGCTGATGGATTGCTGGCAGTAGTCCATCTGAAGCTTAACTGAACTTTTCACCTCTTTCAAGGCCAGTCAGCACGCGGCCAAATGACCGCATGCAGCAGGTCTAGTATGGCAAGCCATGTTTGCAAATATTGGATCGTTGGCCATGTGTGTTCCTGACGCAATAAAAAGCCCGACACCGACCCGGCCCACACATTAAGCACATTATTATGGCCTGGTCCAGTCTGAATCCGGGTCGAGCGGGGCCAGGCTCTGGGTTTGGTTTAGAAATGACAGCGCTAGATGGCGCCACAAGAAATGAGTGCATTTACCAAGATATATCAGAGATAATGGTGCAGCATGGCTACACCTGGACTTATAAGCAGTGCTGAGATAAGCTAAATAAATTCAAGTCTGATTATAGGGCAATAAAGGACCACAACAGGCAGAGTGGCTTCAACAGACCAGTTACAATCCCGCCCACTTTGCATTGACGATCCTGCCTACAGAGTGGGGAAACAAGTCACAGTGGCAAATCACGTACACCTGAGAAGAAGTGAGGAGTGGAGAGCTGAACGTCACTTACCAATGGCAAAGCGGCATATGCAAATCCTACTAGTTTTCTCTGGTGTTCACATTCAGTGGTAAATAAATAACGAGCCAAAATGTGTTGGGGGGGGGGGGGGGTCAAAATTCTGCATAGACCAAATTTTTGTTTAGTCAACTTAAATAAGACTGACCCTAAAGGATTAAGTGTTGGAACAGGTACTCTGGGAATAAACATTGTG